TCATCTGCCTCCAGCATCTTCCTATATTGGTGTTGCCCAGTATAGGTGCCTGCTTGCTTTAGCTTGGCAGCTGGGATGACCTTCATGCCTTGGGTGACCCTGCTGGGAATATATACTCTTGGCATACACCCCTGACGTTCTTCGCTTATTCCTCCCAGGAGCACCCCCACCGCCACCATGGTGAGACAGCACAGCAGGACTTGAGGAGATTTTAACTGATTAGTTTTGAACAAAAAATATTGATACATCTGAAAATTATACTTCAGACGGGGCTTCCTCCATGTCTGGGACCAGGGCAATTGCCACTAGTACTCTGCCTTTAAATAGCCTGAAGTAAGACATTCTCAAATTTTTCTGTATATGTGAAAGTTGTTGAATGTACTTTCTTTCTCCATGACCACTCCCTAGAAACTCCAGTGCTTGTCTACATAAATAAAGAATCCCAGGGCATTTCAATTATGCATGTAAACTGTCTATTTTGGGACATTCCCTTGGCTGTGGACCTCTCCAACTCCCCCTTCAGAAAAAGATATATATTCACATATTTAGAGATTGAAAAGCAAGACAAATAAATACATTATATTTGTACTACAGTATTAGGGTAGCTTTTGAATTAGGTCTAACATAGGTACTGTCTATTTCGGGACATTCCCTTGGCTGTGGACCTCTCCAACTCCCCCTTCAGAAAAAGATATATATTCACATATTTAGAGATTGAAAAGCAAGACAAATAAATACATTATATTTGTACTACAGTATTAGGGTAGCTTTTGAATTAGGTCTAACATAGGTACTGTCTATTTCGGGACATTCCCTTGGCTGTGGACCTCTCCAACTCCCCCTTCAGAAAAAGATATATATTCACATATTTAGAGATTGAAAAGCAAGACAAATAAATACATTATATTTGTACTACAGTATTAGGGTAGCTTTTGAATTAGGTCTAACATAGGTACTGTCTATTTCGGGACATTCCCTTGGCTGTGGACCTCTCCAACTCCCCCTTCAGAAAAAGATATATATTCACATATTTAGAGATTGAAAAGCAAGACAAATAAATACATTATATTTGTACTACAGTATTAGGGTAGCTTTTGAATTAGGTCTAACATAGGTACTGTATAACCTTGAAATCATGCTTTGCATAAAAAGTATCCTGAAAAGCTATGGGTAGCTGGATATTATACAAATCAATTTATTAAAAAATTATTCTTGCAGTTCAAACATTTCAAATGTACATGTATTAAAATAGGCCCATATATGTACAAATGCA